CGTAAAATTTAAGGCATTAATCGCGGAAACTTTTTTAACGCTTGGGAGAAAGTGTATTTTCATATTCTTTGTGGAATGGTTAGGACAGACTTTTTAGTTAGTTAGTTAGTTAGTTAGTTAGTTAGTTAGTAGTTAGTTAGTAGTTAGTTAGTAGTTAGTTAGTTAGTTAGTTAGTTAGTTAGTTAGTTAGTTAGTTAGTTAGTTAGTTAGTTAGTTAGTTAGTTAGTTAGTTAGTTAGTTAGTTAGTTAGTTAGTTAGTTAGTTAGTTAGTTAGTTAGTTAGTTAGTTAGTTAGTTAGTTAGTTAGTTAGTTAGTTAGTTAGTTAGTTAGTTAGTTAGTTAGTTAGTTAGTTAGTTAGTTAGTTAGTTAGTTAGTTAGTTAGTTAGTTAGTTAGTTAGTTAGTTAGTTAGTAGTTAGTTAGTTAGTTAGTTAGTTAGTTAGTTAGTTAGTTAGTTAGTTAGTTAGTTAGTTAGTTAGTTAGTTAGTTAGTTAGTTAGTTAGTTAGTTAGTTAGTTAGTTAGTTAGTTAGTTAGTTAGTTAGTTAGTAGTTAGTTAGTTAGTTAGTTAGTTAGTTAGTTAGTTAGTTAGTTAGTTAGTTAGTTAGTTAGTTAGTTAGTTAGTTAGTTAGTTAGTTAGTTGTTAGTTAGTTAGTTAGTTAGTTAGTTAGTAGTTAGTTAGTATGTTATTAGTCGTTTTTTAGTTAGTTAGTTAGTTAGTTAGTTAGTTAGTTGGTAGTTAGTTAGTTAGTTAGTTAGTTAGTTAGTTAGTTAGTTAGTTAGTTAGTTAGTGTTAGTTGTTAGTTAGTTAGTTTTTTTTTTAGTGTTAGTTAGTTAGTAGTTTAGTTAGTAGTTCGTTAGTTAGTTAGTTAGTATTTAGTTAGTTAGTTAAGTTAGTTAGTAGTTAGTTAGTTAGTTAGTTAGAGTTATTTCGTTATTTAGTTAGTTAGTTAGTTAGTTAGTTAGTTAGTAGTTAGTTAGTTAGTAGTTATTAGTTAGTTAGTAGTTAGTTAGTTATTTAGTTAGTTAGTTAGTTAGGAGTTTAGTTAGTAGTTCGTGGTTAGTTAGTTAGTAGTTAGTTAGTTAGTTAGTACACAGAAAAAACTGAAAATGTTTTTAATTATCAAATTATTGTACAAGCAAGTTTTGCACCTATCAACAAAATGATGATATCAATTATGAAATTTGTAAAAAAATATTTTTTTTCCAATTTAAGAAATAATCAAAACAATTAACATCAGTAATTAAATTCAAATTTTAAAATTAGTTAATTCATTAATTGGATAAATAAAATATTTAATGAAATAAAACTTACATTTGAATTATTTTATCAATCAAATGAATTGAACAGTTTGGTTAAAAATGTATTAAAAATCAATTAAGTCGATGATTGAAACAATCAAAGCATTAATTGAATGCTTACAACATTAAAGGATTACTTTACCTTTAACAATGCGTTAAGCACTATCAAAAATATCTCTTTATTGTCACATTTGAGCAAATAAAGTGATTTATAAATTTTAAAATATTTATGAAACTTTAACTTCTTATACCTAAAATATTATTGACTATTCGAGAATTATAAACATTCTTTCCATTATAAATAATGAAATTATTTAAATAAAATATCAAAACAAAAAACCAAAATAAAAAAGTAGGCTGGAAAAACTTTTTCAGCCAATTAAAAAATTTATTGATTCAATTAAAAGTTAAATCAAATTTGTATACTTAGGATCAAAACAATGAGATAATTATGACAATTAAAAAAATGTTTAAATAAAAGTCAAATAATGAGAAAAACATGTTAATTGAAAATAAACTACCGATAATTTTTTCTGTGTAAGTAAGGAGGATGAATCCATTACATCAAATTCGAAGAAACACACATACATACATACATACATATTTTCGCATCTCCCACTCTTTTTTAGTTTCCAAACTAAAATATTTGTTATTGGAAATCAAATTACTTCCGTTTCCTAATAAATAGCGTAACTAAACTTAAATCTTATTAATAAACTTTCTATTTGTTGTAAAAATTTCCAAAAATATTATTAACTCTTATATCTTTAGCTAATTTTTTTTTAATTGCCACTTAAAAACTTTTACTGAAATTTAATATTTGCAACCTTTTAACTCAAAATTAAAGAAGAAAATCTTTTAAGAAACTTAAACAAGATTTTCTCTAGAAAAGTTTATAACTTTTTAATCCCTTAAAATATGTCTTCTACTTTCTCACTATTAAAAAAGATCAATATTTAATTTCTAGGAAACAGAATACGTAAATATTTTGCACTTTTTCTTAAAATACAAAAGCAATTGCCGTTAATAAAACAAAAAAACAACTAAATAGAGAGATGAAAGAAAAAGTTTTTAAAAATATACATTAAATATTATCATTGGCATCATCATCGAACATCATACACCATGAATAAATTCAACACTTTTTACCATTTCATGTTCTTTTTTTTTGTAATGTTGAAGGGGTTAAAACAGGAAATGTTTTTTTTTTCTGTTTGATTGTATGAATATTTTTGGTGGTTTTTATTTTTAGATTTGAAAATGTTTTTTTTTATGATCTTGTTGCTACTTTCTTTTTATATATGTTATTTTACCAGTAGATAAAATTAAATTTATTATAATTTGATTTTTGTGGCCAAAATTCTTTTGAAATAAAATTATGTCTAAAAAAAGGATGAAGTTTATAATTTGCGTTTATTAACACAAGATTACGTGACATAAATATTTTTAAATTACATTAAAATTAAAATATGTATATTCCCATACATAGATCTACTAATGTTATATTAGTTTTTCATATATTAATGCTCAGATGATGTATAAGCAATAATTCGATGACAACATAAAAATATGACAAAAAAAGTATTTTCTATTTTTTTTTACTTTAATTCAATCTGTAGAAATTTTAACATCCCACCACATCCTATAACCACATTAAATGTCACAAATAAACTAAAAGAAAAAAAAAATTGGGTTAATCTTTTGCTAAGTGACAGCAGCAAGTCCAAAATGAGATTATCAGCAGCATCACACGCGTACGTGAAAAAGAAATTATATAAATTACCTTAATATGTGTAACAAATACATTTAGGAATGTTATATGCTAGAGTGTGCCGCAAAAAGTGTATAACTTTGGGAGATTCAAGGATATTTATGGTTTTTACTAATGTTAGCAACACACGCACAAGTTATGGACCCATCGTATCGATTCGAGACGATACTTATAGTCGAGCTGCTCTTATCTTTAGTTGCATGGATCAAAATGAAGTATACTGGGCACAATGCCCGATCCTACACCAGAGTTATAACCTTGAAGCACATTGGAAACCCAGAAATACTACCATCTACCTATTTAAGATACTAGGAGCCAGACGCAAGCTTACGAAATCATAAATTAGATTGCATCAGATTTCATCCCTATCCGATTATAATATACAATTGTAGATGTAACGAGATAAGCACCAGTCGGAATAAAAGTCAAAAAAGAACGAAAGTACTAAACTGTTCGTAAAAACATCGGCTAAAGTATCTCACACAGCTATTTGGAATAAGGGAATGATAGATAACACCACAAAGATGTTATGGTTGAAAAACGAAGTCCAAAAGATGCTATACTTTGGACTACATTTTCATTGGACAAAATTCTACCATCATAGCGTATGTTTTAAAATAATTTTAATTTTGAAAGGTGTTCCAATATATGGGTTTAGATCTGAGGAGTTTATGAGGACTTGAGTCACTTGAGGACTTGGACTGGACTCTTTAGAATTTGAATTAGTGAATAACATTTCTCAAAAAGTCGTTTTTTTTTAACTCCTTAATTTTTTAAAATAAACAGATTTTCTGCAAAAGGGACCTTATATGAGGTATATGAGCAATTATGTTCCACATTTTGGTATATATGTATATTTCACTTTCTATAAACTAGTTTGAGTTTATTTAATAACATCATAAGGGTGGTCACCTTCCGGTATACCGGAAGATTGATTTCACCTGATGTTAGGATAGTCGCCCCTTTTATTGACTTTACACCAGCGATTGCTTTTTCCTTGTCGCGGTTTGTATTGGGATTGATCCCATGCTGCCTGTCATTCCGCAACGGGGCTACTATGGCAAGATATTAGATAGCTCGAATTCTTCAGCAAAGTGCTTGTACATGGACCGGCTCAGCCATGTACAAAAAAGATTTCCGTGAAATGAGGCAGCACTCGACATTCGCGTCTGTTCGGCTGACTGTCAATGTGAACCTTTTGCCCAAGGTGATGAAATTTAGACCATACGAGTTTTTCTGTACAAGGACGAAGCCTATTGAAAATGGTTAAAAACAGTCCATTATTTCACCTAGCCCCCTTACAACCATACCCCACGAATAGGGCTAATAACTATTTAAATATTCTAGTATCTCTACAAAACTCGGCGCAACTAATTTTTATATAATAACGCGGCGGGTTTTGTAATGATCGGCTCCCATTTGAGGGCCTAGTCGCCATACAAACCCCATTTTAAAAATGTCTTAAACTTCCAAAGATGACTTATCACCATTAGTATTGCGATGTAGTTCAGAATAAGTAAATTGTTTATATAGAAATACATTCCTCCTCCTAATTTTCTGAATATCGGTCCATATTTGGACCGATACCATATAAAGCCTATACTTTTTCATCAATAAATTAACTAAACTTTCCTACTAGTTTCTCTTTAATTTGGTGAAAATATTAAAACTTTAGTAAAATTTAACTAAGATTTTCCTAAGAACTTGTTTTTATAATTTTCCCTAGGGAGTTCAAAACTTATGTTCAAGACACTCTAATGTACATAAGATATACATAAATATTCATATATTTTTGCTCATATGCAACATATGGTTTTCTATTTAGTTTAGCGATAACATAAAAAAGAAAAGCTACACGCATACATACATACATATGTATGTATGTGTACATATAAATGTATTTAAAGGATTCAAAAAGGATACAAACTTACCTTAACACTCAGCACAATAATTGACAATGAAAGAAATACAACAGCCTTCATTTTGAATGCTTATGAATGCTGGAATGAAGATGTTTTAATGGATTTTTTTCACAAAATTTAATTTTTGATGCTGGTTAACGGTGATGGTATTATTTATTAAAAATATGCTGTAGGAGGTGTTGACAGATTTCTTGTAAATAAGTGAATAAATCTTAATAGAGCCAACTTGTGTTCAAGCTAAGTTTTGGTTGTTGTTGTTGTAGTTATTTTTACGTTTTGGGTTAATAAAATTTAATTAACTTCTGACGACAGATTAAAAGGGCCAATGGATGAAACAAGTGGCAAAAATGGTTTTGTTGTTGTCCTTTTTGTTTTAATCCTTACCAACAACAAGCAATGACAAATTAGTACATTAATACATAAAATATGATCATAAAATATTCTTGCTCTTAATGTGACGACTTCTGCAGTTTGATTAAATCTTCTTTATAGACTTACAGCACAAGATAAAATATGGTTAGAAAGTAAAATAAATTAAATTAACACTTCAATCACTGGAAATACGTGCAGTTGTTCAATAATGTCCTTTTTTCAGCACTCAGACACTGGAGCTATTTTTACTAGTTTTTTCTATTGTCTTTTATTCTTCAGAAACACTTGTTGTTTTTAAATAAGAAAATACTGTATTTTATCTCAATTATATTGAATGTCTTTTTACTTCTTGCTTTGTCCCCTCAAAAAAAAAAATAACACAATTTATTTTTGTACACAATCACGTTTCTACTGACCAAAGCTGCTTATTGAAAAATATTACTAGAAATGTTTGAAAAAAATAATAATTCTATTAGCGTTACAAATTGACAAGTAAAATGTTTAAGGCAAAATGTTCCAAAAAAAATTTAAATTTTTTTCTTCACTTTAGACAAAATTATTAAACCACAAAAAATGTATTAAATTGAATTAACTTCACTTTTCTACAAAAACTTTACTTTTTTTAACATAAAATTAACGTTGCAAAAAAATAACCGTTTCTAAAATTCAAAATTTTTTTTATAATCACTTTTAATTGTATTATTGAGTTCTTAACGACCGTTAACGTGGTCAACTGTCGTTAGAATGTTAGATGCCTGAAACACTACAAGTCCTTTTATACAAAAATCCTTCTCAACAAAAAGCTTTTTGAAACAAACACACACAGACATCCACACAAAATCCCCTAAAACAAATTTATGAATGAATTATTTTGCAACAACTTGTTGCCTTAAGAGGAAACAAAAACACATTTTTTATATATATTAACTATGAACATTTCATTTATATAGAAAACTTTTTAGGTTTAAAACTTAGCTAAGACACACACACACATACTGTAAAGCTTTCTCAACAGTGTTACCATTGTTGCTGCCTTAGAGCGGCAAACCCATTTCGATGGGTTTGGCTGCTGCTATACTTTGTACATTTCTTGGATGATGTATGTCTCCACGATCGTAATAATTAGCATAATGCTCCCCAGGTACATGGTAGAGACCGTAGTGGACCCCACTATTGGCCACCTAAAATAAGTTAAAAGATAATTAAACTTTTATTTTTGGAAATATTTTAACATTTCTTTAGTTCCCTCAAAACTTACCCGTTTAAGGCCATTTATGGAGGCCAATAGTAAAGCCATTTTAGCTAAAAGCAGCGCTTTGCCACTAACTACGGATAACATTTGAAAACCCATGGGTACGAGTACAGCGCCCAGAGCTGTTACCCCAAACATCATGGTTATCATCATGTTAAAACGATGTCTTCGATGACGGGCTGTGCCGACAGGATCTGTGTCATTAGATAGAGAGGAATCTGAAAAAAATATGATAGGAATGTTTGTGTACTAGGCTCTTTTAATTCATATGGGAAGTGACATGTTCATGTTGCTAATCCGCCAATTTATTACCAAAATAAGTGTTCACATGGATGTCAAAGTTGTTCGTGCAAAACTTGAGGATTTTAGCATTAATTACCCAGTTATACGAATTTGTTTATTTAATTCCTATGGGTACCACGCCCCCTATTGCTACTTCTGCCAAGTTCTTCCTAAATTGTTCATATGGATATCATTCTTTCCCGTGCAAAATTTGAGAATTCTAGCTCTGATGGTTTCCTAGATATACGATTTTTTTTATTTAATTCATATTGGAGGTGCCACGCCCCCTATTGCTAATCCGCCAATTTATTACCAAAATGTTCACATGGACATTAAAGTTGGTCGTGCAAAATTTGAGGATTCTAGCTCCAATAATTTTCAAGATATACGAATTTTTGTATTTAATTCGTATGAGTACCACGCCCCCTATTGCTATTCCGGTCAATACACCATAAATTGGTCGTGCAAAATTTGAGGATTCTAGCTCCAATAATTTTCAAGATACACGAATTTTTGTATTTAATTCGTATGAGTACCACGCCCCCTATTGCTAGTCCGGTCAATACACCATAAATTCTTCATATCGATTTTAATGTTGACCGTGCAAAATTTGAGATTTCTAGCTCTGATGATTTCCCAGATATAAAAATTTATGTATTTAATTCATATGGGAGGTGTCACGCCCCTTAGTTTTAGTCCGCCCATTTTGTCTTAAATATTAATAATGATACTAAAGTGGGTCTGTTTTGAGACAGTGCTTGTTCCATCACGTTCAGAAATGAATCTGAAATCAATTGCGGTTTCTAAAAGGTTTTTTCTAAAAGGTGATGGAACCTTGCCTAGCTCTTATATCGAGTGTAATCCAATTTATAAACTTTATAACAAACCGTTTGTATGATATCTAGATGAAATCATGGTCATGGTCTGAAATTCGATTTAGGGGCAAAACAAATAGGAAAGTAAAGTCGGGCATGGTAGACCATATGAAACCCTGCACCATGAGTGTATTTTAAAAATTTTACCTTAAATCCGATGTATTTAAGTAATTTATTGATGAAAAACAACATTTCTAAAAGAACAATTTTGAACGTTTAAGATATTTTTTGAAGGGTGGTAAGGGTTAAATAAGGGCCAATCATTAAAAAATCTTCATGGTAATTTATGCCTTTATAAAACATAGTTGTGAAATTTTTTGGAGAGAAAGTATATTATTTGACGTAGTTATGAGTTAAAAAACCTAAATCGGAATGTCCGGTTGTATGGGGCTAGGTGAAATAGTGGACCTGAACCTGAAGGTGATATTGGTACCTTTTTGCCCCTTTATAACTTTTTAACTAATAAACATTTTAAGACTTTTGTAAATATATTGAACTAAGCTCTTAAAATTATTAGATATTTGTTTGGTACTTTTAAATTAACTTTAATTAATCAGTCCTTTTTGGGATTTAGCACATTAAGAAAAAAATTTCAGTTTTCATTTCATTAATTATCAACTAAAACTTAATATTCAATGGGGAGAAAAAAGTACCAAAAAGGGGAAAAAGGGAAATTTTACTTTACTTCAAACTCTTTGAAAAAAATTTTATAGCATTTTAAAAACTAGAATATTTACTCAGATAAGGGTTCTAAGACCTATATAGGACATAATTCTGGTAAATTGTTTGGTACTTTCTTGAGCATATAAATGCAGATTTGCATCGTGCGAGTTTTATCTGTTATATATACCACATTTAATCAAGGAGTATTTTGAAAACTTAATCCTAGAAAAATTTGTTCGTGGATGAGAAAGGAACAAGTAAGAGTGTTACATTCGGCTATGCCGAATCTTATATACCATCCATCAAATCATATAACACGAAAGCTACCCTATAAATAAACTTTGATATTTATGAATCGATACTTTTGTTATTGTAATTTATTAGATTTATGTTAAATTTTATGACATCAGGTTAATATTTGGAATAGGGCTTTTAATGAGGGCTTATGCCAATTATGGACCAAGCTCTTCGAATTAAAAAAAATATATAACTTTTAATACCTTTCATTTTTCCACCCTATAAAGTATATATATTCTGAATCCCAAAGTGCTTTACGTGAGTACCTGCCGTGTTGGCATATCTCACGGTGGTCTTTTTCAACCACTGGGTGAGCTTTGTGACGACTCACAACCGCCATTCAATCTTCAATGAAAAAATCAGGTGGCAATTTCTGTACATGGCTAAAGCCGGTCCATGTACAAGCACTTTGCTCAAGTGTTCGAGCTATATAATATCTGACCATTGCTGCCCCGTTGCTTAACTTCCGAGATGTAAAACATCAATTCCGTTTACAACCACGCAGATGGCATGGCCTCTGTTGATTCGGCAACAGCACCTAGAGACGTAACCGGTAGACCGAAGTACGTATCCATAAAATAAGCCGAGACTTTGTTCTTACTCACAGTGACACACTGTGTTAATTCTGATACGAACAGAGTTTACTCTGAACATATCTGGACAAGGAAGGAAAATTTAATGGTATCAATTATATATGAAACCTTTCATCCATCATTATGTGAGAATCTATAAAAGGGGACTTTTTGATACTTTTTCGTTCTACAAAAGGTACTTTTTGAATTTTCAATAATATTGAACCTGGAAATATGAAATTAGCCATGTAAAGGCCGGATTATGTGAGAATCTATAAAAGGGGATTTTTTTGGTACTTTTTCGTTCTTTAAAAGGTATTATGAATTTTCTATAATATTGAACATAGAAAAATGAAATTAAGTATGTAGAGCCCGCATTAAGGGAGAACCTATAAAAGGGAACTTTTTGGTACTTTTTCGTTCTATAAAAGGTACTTTTTGAAATTTCTATAATATTGAACCTAGAAACATGAAATTAAGTATGTTGAGCCCGGATTAAGTGTGAACTTTTTGATACTTTTTCTTTCATCAAATGTCCTTTAATCTTCTAATGAGACTCTTTCGTATTTTTGCGTTCTTTAAATGGTACTTTTTGAATTTTCTATAATATGAAATCAGAGTGTACTTTTTAAATTTTCTACGGTGTGGAACCTTAACACGGTCCTTATTAAAGGTGAATTTAAAAGATAAAGATTTTTCCTTCTTTATATGGTGCTATTTGTGTTTTCTTTAATATTGAACCTAGAAATATAAAATTTAACTTGTAGGGGAATTGAAAGAAAATCTTTTACCTTTTCTTCGTCTCACATTTTCCAAATAGGCTTCCGTTAATTCCTTTAAATTAATTTCCAACATATGAGTATTTACCATTTTGGTAAAACTTAAAGCCAAACGATCGAACCAGGTCAAATATTGCAAATCCTTACGTTGTAAAAAATCACTTTAAAATTATAAAAAAAAACTTTAATCACAATCACTTTCTTAAAAGCATATTCACACATTTTATTTCACATACTTTTCTTGATTTATGCTCAATGATGATATTTGATTTTCCTTGACATTCGGCGTTTTAACAAATCTTATACCTGGCCATAAGGGAATGATTTGACGTCTTGTCATGTCATCGACAATATTTAAACTTGTCATTTTTAAACACTGCCAAGTGGAGGTGCCATTCGGCTGTGGTGAGGACTAAAAACAAAATTTAAAAAATGATTGATTTATATTTTTTGTATTTTTTCAATTGAGGCTTATTTAAAGATATGTAAACACTTAATTCTTTTACATTTTCACATGCTTTTAATAGCTGACGCATAACTCGCATTTGCTGTATCCAAGATATTTGTGGCGAATTTTGGGAAGGCGAAAAGTCTCTTTTTGTGGTGGGTAGAGCATTTATCACACTTAAATTTATGATAGTTAATATTAGAACAAATTTCAAGGATTTTTTCAATAAAAACATTTTGTTCCTTTTTTTATTTAATATTTATTTTTATTTTGCCAATAATCCAATTAAACCGCTTAATAATTCCTCACGTCTAGTAAACAACTGAAAGTTTTTCTCAAAGTAACTTGTATTTTATATAGAAAATTTTACTTTAAGTTTTAACATTTAATGAACCAGTGAAGAGTGACATTTCTTCCATTGTCAGCCCATAATAATTATATAGTTTCGAGGTGCATTTCAATTGTTATGTATGCCACTCATACTGACTGCAGTTGCAAGTGGCAGTGGCAGTGACCGTTACACTTATTTGGTTTTATTTTTAAACTGTTTTGGAATCACTGCTTTGAACTTGGTTGTAATTTTTTTATTTCATATTTTAGTCCCATTAACCTATTGATTTTGAAAATGAATGTGTTATACTAGAAAATTAAAAAGAAAAATTTTGCATGCATTTATTGTGTTTTTTTTTCGCTGTGTAGTGAATTGGAAATTTTGTTTAATAAAATCACTGTGTTTAGAAATAATTTAAAAAGGTACGAAGGTGCTTATTTTCAATATTCAAATTGTTTTAAAACAAAATGTTTACATTGTAATCAATTTCAAGTTAAAATTTCTCTTTTGGTGTTAAAAGTAATGATAAGTCTTTAATTTTGCAAAGAAGTGAAAATTGTATACTGGACACACCTTCATGACAAGTTTCTAATTCATTCATAATTTCACATTGAAAGTCAAGTCTGGCGCTGCAGAGCGCTGGGCACTTAGTAGAAGATCTATAGGCATTAACTGGGACTTTAATCCCACAATGCTCTGTGGTTTTGAAACTTATATTTTTGGAAATTTCTTACTATATCTAGAACTATTGGATTTATCGCAATTCGTGGAAAAATTCAATTAATTATCACAGAATAGCGAAATTCCTAAAGCTGAATAAATGTGTTCCAAAAAATTTGTTTTTTAATAAAAGTGCCCACTGTGCTGTTATTTAACGAGCAATAGCAAAAAGACTTCGGATATTTTTAAGGATCATATAGGTCTATATAAATATAGAACTATTATGAGGATTGGTGCTTTGAGTTTTTAGAATTTTTTACACACAATAGAGAGCGTGAGCTGCGAGTTGAGCATAGGCGTGATGTTGATGAGGTTGGCATCTCATCAATGTGTTAGAACCCTAAAGAACTTGGTCCTCCTCCCTGGGACGGCGCTAAGTTGGGACTGGCAAAGAAGAGCCAGCTTCCGGTGCTCTTAAAGACCACTGGCTACATAAAAGGATGGAGCAGCAAACTGGCAAATGAACGTATACTGAAAATTCTCGGAGGTCAAAATACTTAGCTGAAAAATGGGAAAGAAGGACCTGAGGAAACTCTCTTTGTAATATGTATCGACCATAGCTAGTCTTGTCAAGAATAAAGGTACAGCTTACTTCGCCTCTTAAGCTGTCATATTCAAAATTGCCGATTGGAAGGGCTGTTACAGCAAGCCTCGAAAAGGACACTAAAAACCTAAGACCACAGCATCAGTAACCGCTACTGATAACGTTGAGGAGTCAAATCCTAAAAGCGAGGATGTTATCACTAACTCGCCAGAAGAAGGTGCAGCTGCTCTTTCCAAAGGCGCCGATTGAAGGGGCTGTAAAAACCGGCCTCGATAAGGACAATAAAACACCTAAGACGGTACCCAAAGCATCATTAGCAAGTACTGGTAATGTTGAGGCGTCAAATCCTAAAAGCCCAGAAACAGAAATATACCACCTTTTACCTAATCATAACATAAGCTTCCAGGCAAAAGTCCTAGCAATAACGGAATATGTAAATTGGATTAGATTAAATATGACAGCCACAGACCTTAATGTATTTACCGACAACCAGAAGGCAATTAGGGCGATATCAGGTGATAGAATTAAATCTAAGACCGTATTTGATTACAAGAAAACTTTAACTAAATACTCTCCCAGAGGTAAGGTTTACAAAATATGGGTACCAGACCACTCTGGAGTAGTCGTCAACGAAAGGGCGAATGTAATAGACTCAAAGGAAGGAAGCTCGATGTAGTTAACCTGACAAACGCAAAAGCATTCAACGCAACAAAAACTGAATTAAATATGGGTGAGAGAATCTCATAAGGCCTCTTGGAATAATGAAACGGTGGTTAGAACCGCAAAGATCCTATGGGGTGACCCTGATGAGAGCAAGACGAGAAATCTCCTCAAAATGTGCAGGTTAGGTTGATAGGAAGATGTATACTACATCAAATTCGAAAAAATACATCTAGGCCACTATCGGGCCTTCAAAATGTGTAAGTCTGAGGTTATTATGATGGTACGTATTCTGAGTGGACACACAGGATTACGCGCACAAAATTGGACATGCGGATTCAGACTAATGTAGAGCATTGGAGAGGACAGTGAAACTCAGGAGCACTTTCTTTGCCATTGTCAGGCATTCGTCGAAGTTAGATCCAAATATCTTGGAAGTAATGTTATTCCGGAAATAACATCCCTGACTAACACTGATTGGAAAATTCTTAGAAATTAGGTCCAGGTAATGTATTTCAGACTTTAATCTGAATATAGAATAGTTTTTAAGTTTATACTATAGATTATTATTTAGATCCAACTTAACTGTAAAGTACAGACTAGAAAATTGTTTATAGTCCAAAAGATACATATTAGTTTGTAATTTTCTTCAAAACACTCCATGTACATTACGTTTATACCCAGCATTAGGCGCTATCACTACGTGGTAGCCAGTAGTGTTCTAATAACGAAGATCTTTCTCTGGGTCAGTTTGGCGCCAAAACCTTCCTTGGCAAATCCATTTTCTAAAATCATTCACAAACAAATTTACAGGTATTTTTATACCCTTTACCTTCGTGGCTATGGTAAGTTTGTCATTCCGTTTGAAATTTCTATAATATAATTGTCCGACCCTTTAAAGTATATCGAGGGACTATATTCAATAGTCTCTATCTAAAATAACACAAGTTTTCAGTAGAGCAAAAAAAATTGTTTATTTCGCTAGTTTGTGAAGATTTTTGAATTTTTTCTTCTACAACATATTTTTACGACCATATTCTAAATCGTTATATAAAAAAAATTTTAAATTTTGCATTATTTGCAAAATTATTCACAAATTAATCAAATTAGTATCATAATGAGCGACATCTCGAAAACTATTCAACCGATTTCAAATATTTTTGCGGATTTGTGTTCAGCATGTCCAAATTAGTTAAAACACTCGTTTTGCAACAGAAAATTATCCAAAATAATTTTTGGATAAGATAGAGAGTTTTGCATTCAGATTTTTTCTTTTTTTAAGATAGAGAAATTTAAAAATGGCTATAAAATTGCCAAAAAAATATTTTTTTCTTTTGAAATTTATGTCTCTGATGCGGGATAGTTTGCTGATTATTTTGCCATCAAAATCTTATTTTCATGAAAATGACAGATAGAGACTATTGAATATAGTCCCTCGATATATATTCAGGATCCTTATAAATAGCGGAGTCGATTTAGCCATGTCCGTCTGTCTATCCATGTATGTTGAAATCAGTTTTCAGAAGACCCCAGATATCTGCGAGATCCAAATCTTCATTAATTTTATCAGACATACGTTCGGGAAGAACGCTATTTAGAATCAGCAAAATCGATAAATAAAAAAAATCCGAGACAACCTCTGAAAATTTCATCAAAAATTGAGATTTTAGGTGCATACTAAAGCAGAAATTATAAACAAACAACAACAACACACTTAATCATACGGTAAATTTTGTTCTTGATTTTGCATGTTTATAAAAGCAGAGCAAGATCAACACGAATCTGTGTGTTGTTATTGATTTGAAACATGAAATTAAGCATGTAGGACCCGCAGTAAGGAGAACATATAAAACATTTTGTTATTTTTTAATTTTTCGAAAGGTATTTTTTGAGTTTTCTATTATATTGAACCTAGAAACATGTAGAACCCGGAGTAAATGAGAACATATTAAAGGGAATTTTTTTTTTTGTACTTTTTCATACTTCAAAAGGTACTTTTTGAGTTTTCTATAATATTGAATATAGAAACATAAAATTAAGCCTTTAAAGGCCGAAGTACATGAGGAGCTATAAAAGGGAACTTTTTGGCACTTTTTCATACTTCAAAAGGTACTTTTTAAGTTTTCTAAAATATTGAATATAGAAACAGAATATTAAGCATGTAAAGTCCGAAGAACATGAGAACCTATAAAAGGAATTTATTTGGTACTTTTTTCTTCTTGAAAAAGTACTTTTTGAGTTTTCTATAACATTGAACCTAGTAACATGAAATTAATCATGTAGGGCCGGGTTTAAATGATAACCTATGAAATGCAACATTTTGGTACTTTTTCGATCTTCAATTTGTACTATTGGAATCTTTTTTTAATGTAAAATCTAGAGCCATAGAATTAAACATGCAGCGCCCTGATTGAATAAAAATTTATAACAGGGGACTTTCTTTGAATCAATTTTAATTCCGCTTTAAATAAAACACATTTTTTTATTTAAAATACTTGTTTATTTTATTTAAAGATTTATCAACAGTTTTGCTTTTTTTTAATATTTAATTTATTATAATTTTATTAAAGTTTTGTTCATTTAGTTTTTAAGAAAATTAATTAAATTTAGCTAAAAAACATAAAACGTATGAAATAGTTATGTTAAGCAAAAATTTCGTACTATTTAGGTAAATTTAAACTAATGGAAATTATTTTTAGGTATTATATATGTAATACCTATATATTGAAACTACTTATAAAATAAATTAGGCAAAAAGAATTTGATTTTTAAAATAATATTTAATTATAAAACTTGTTAATTTGTGTGTGTAATAAAAAAAATGAGTTTTTAAGTTATAGATTCTGCAGTATTTGTAATATGAGAAGTATTGTAATGATTTTATTTGCTTATTATGCTAACAAAACTCTAGTATTTGGAAAAAATTTAAAATAATTTATTTTCGTGATGTCAACAGTGTTTTAAATCATTTATATTTATTAAATTTAGGAACATAATAAAGCTTTATTTAAAGTATTTAAGAAGTTTTTTCTTATTTCCTCTAAAATGTCTTAAAACACTTTTTACATCAACTGAATTTTTTTTATATTTTCCAATGAGTTTTTTTTTCTATAAATTCTAATACCTTTTTTTGTAAATTTTTATTTCAATGTAGTTTTTAGTTATGGGCGGCAGCGTGTGTTATTTATTTGTTTAAAACTGAAAGTTTAAATAAAAACATAAATAATTTAGTGCATTTTAAATAAAAGTTACTAAAACTGAATATTTTTAGTTTGCCTTTAATTTGTATGTAATATTTATACATTTATTATTATATATCATAAATAATTGATTTATGTATTTACATTTTTTAATACAGTAGTGTAAACAATAATAGCAAAAATTCTGTCAATTGTAAAGGAATTTTGATTGAGTTTCTTGTTAAGGGAAAAAATTCTAAGATTTCATCGATTTTTATTAAGAAGTTACAGAATTTATCTTAATGTATGTATATTAGGGTGTCCCATGTACCACTTTTTTGAAAGGTATAATATAAGAAATATTTTTTTGAAAGAGGTCTCAGTTCCCTACCATCGATTGAAAATACTGATCTAAGTATAACATTTTACAAAATACCTGTCTTCCTTTCGAAATTTCGAACAGCCTCATCAAGAAAGGGGCGGTTACATCATGTACACGCCCACTTCGTATGTTAGCGCTAATTTTGGTATTCTTGATTACAATAAAAAGCAATAACTTAATAATAAACAAACTTAATCAAGCCTTATAAGATCGAAATGCTTTAAATAAGTAGGCGTAGTTATAAAAGGAACACGCCTACTTTTTATATAGAAAATGTCAATTTTGCTAATTATTTTTAAAATGTATTAAAATTTATACCATAATATAATATAACTGTTATGATAACCATGCCCACAAACATTTCGCCCACTTTTCGCTATTATTTTGTTAATAATTTAGTTTAACCGTTTAATGTATAACTTTTTTTCAAATTTTATGATAATTGTTGATTATTGTAAACATTTTTCAAAATTTGAAAAGTGGGCGTGGTCAATACAAATATTTTAGTTATACTTGTTAAGCTTAATGTGGATTTTCATAAAATTTGGTTTTAAACAATGTTGATCAAGATCAAGAGTATTCTAAAAAATCAACAAATGATGTGGGCGTGGTAATGATACTGCCGCCTACATTTTTTGTAGGGTTATAACAAAGTTTATGTTATGTTTAAAATTAAATTAATATAGGCTAAAAATGCTCTTTTTAGATGATCGCACTAATAACTCGTAAATTTTCAATTATTTTTTCCGTAATCAGCTCATGATAACGGTACTTTTGAGACCCATTTTGAAATGATGTCAGAATTTTTTTTTAACATATTGTACTGAGATAAAAATTTCCAATCGCGGGTAGGGAACTGAGCCCCTTTCTACAAGAGATTCTTAAAAAGGTAGTTCCTCGGGTCTCTCTAATGTACCTATATGTGTATGTATGTATATCATAAATCTCTTTGTAAGTCGGTTGGACCGCTTATTTTAAAATTTGAAACATGAATAAATGTATGTCTGAAAGAGTCGATAGGCTAATTGTTCCGGAAGGGTCCAACCGGTAAAACTGATATTTTTTCTCTTAAATATTTTCGATTTAACTTTTTAAAGTTTTAAAAATATTTATTAGTAAAGTGTCACTTCCCGAGTCAACCGTTGGGGGGAGGTCAAAATGTAATTCCGTTCTATAGGCAAACCACTATAGAGGATTTGTCCATAGAATTTGTGTCGATGTTTCTAATACAAAAAATATTGATCCTACATCCACCTTAAAATATAGCGATTGATTCAGAATTACTTTCTGAGTCCATTAAAACATGTCCATTCTACCGGCATAAAGACGAAGCATATTGAAATGGTTGAAATTGGTTCAATATTTCACCTAGACCCATATAACCGGATCTTCAGATCTCCTATGTAATGATCGGCCCTTATTTGATTCTAGCCTCCATACAAATCCCCCTTTAATAATGTCAAAAATTGATTTATAATCATTAGTATCGTTATGAAATTCAGCATAACTAACTTTTATATAAAAATACATCAGTCCTCTGAATTTTAAGAGGATAGATCCCTATTTGACCCTGGTTGGTTAACGTGGTAGTATTTTATAGTTTTACATCCAGATTGTAGCAGTGAGAAATCTTAGGATATCATTAAGCTTAGATCCAGATATCTCACCAAGATTAGATGAGTTGCTTCAGCAACTGCCAAGAAAACGGTTTCTTTTCATGGATAGAGCAGGGCATTCGCAGAGAAAATGGAAGACCGTTTCTTCCGTTTCCCAGTCTTTGCAACTGCGACAGTGTTCATTGAAGGGTAGCCCAAGCCTACTTGCATGTCTGCCTAGCACCCAATGTCCTGTTATTACTGCTATAAATCTCGATATATAGGGTGACTTGTGTTTTACATGTGTCTAGGTTATTCCACCTATTTTCAGCCTTTTGAAGACAGAATCTGAGGATACTACTCTTGATAAAACCTAACGGGGTTGCTACTGGAACAGCGTTGGAGATATCAAGAGTAGATCCCGTTCTGGCAAGCTCATCTGCCTGTTCATTTCCATAATAGTCCCTATGAGCAGGGACCCAAAAAAGGGTAATGTGAGACAGGCGACCCAGCCTTTATACTATAGATTCTTCTTGCATTGTCTAACTAATAGAAATTAGTGAGAGAAGTGCCGCATGACTATCGACAAAAATTCCTATGTTGCCGCGAATATTAAGGTCGTATAGTACCCTACAAGCTAACATTATCGCGAATAGTTCAGCTTGAAAGACACTACAGTTGTTGGGAAGACGGTGAGATATACTTACCCCAGCGTCTTCACAGAAGACACCAGAACCAACACCACAGCTCATTTTAGAACCATCTGTAAAAATGCTGGTGGTATATTCGCTCGGTAGGTTACCCCTACACCACTAGCTCCTGGAAGGAAATCTCACTTTGAAAACTCTATCAAAATCAGTGTGTGGGGTAATACAATCGGATGGTTGGTTCAAGATTGGAGGTAATTGGCTTAAACTCCCATATAAAGCATCTTTTAGAAAATTAGTTATTCATCAAGGCGATCTGCCAACAAAAGAACGGCCACCTTTTGAAATTCACTTCATATTTACGGCATATGCTTTGATCGTGGGTATTCAAGATTCGACATAATCGAATAAAACACTTCTACTTGGTTGAGTTGAGTTGAGTTCCGTCAGTCTAGTACTAAATTAGTGACATAAATCGCATTATTGTTCAAAAAATACAATTTTTGGATTATCCGTTAATTTTTATTCATTCTTATTCACTTATAAGAAGTCCTATTAGAAAATCTAAAAATGACTTGTTTTCTGCTATAATTTTTGACACAACTGTATTAGAGTTACTAAAGTAAATAACACTATTGTTAATTTTATTAATTAATTTATTATTTATATTTTAATATTTTAAAAGTTGAGGTTCATAAGTGCTGAAAAATAATTTATTTCAATTTCTTTTTTTTTCAGGTTTTTCTGTATTACAATTTACCGTATAACAGTTTCAAAAAAGTGAAGAAATGTAAGTTACTAAAAAAGTTAATTTTATATTTTTTAATAGAAGATATACACTAGACTGAAACTGTTATAAAAACATAGCTCCAGTCAATTGTGCAATTATATTTTAATTAAAAATTTAATTTATGGCAAAACTGTTATACTACAAACTGTTATTTTCCCAATTTACCTATATTAATTATAGGTATATAGAAAAAAAGTTCTGTTGTTAATATTTATTTAATTGTTTTTATATATTTTCTTTAAATTTATTTTCTCTAATAAAAAACAAAAGGACAATTGGCATTATTATAATAATAAAATTTTCTTATTTTTCACATTCTATTTTGTCATTTATGGCAGATTTTAAATTAAATAAGAAAATTATAATAATTTTTAAAGTTTTACTTTTTTACTTTCTTGAGTTTTCGTTTTTTGTCTTATAAAATGTTTTTGTGTGTGTTTTAATTTTACTTTAGGTGTAGATTTTTTTGTATGTATAAGTGTAAAGATCATCATTCAAATAGCACTAACTGTTATACTTAAATATTTGTTTAAATTTACTTTACTTGACTCTTCATCATTGTTGAAATATAATAATTTTCCTAGCAAAAAATATATTTGTTTTGTGTTTAGTTTTATGATTTTCTCATTTTATTTATTTGTATGATTTTAATTAGTTTTTTTATTTTTAAATGAAATGTATCCTTATTAAACCTTTGCTAACTGAAGATTGATTGTATTAATGAATTTGTTTAATTAATCGTTTGTATTTTCTTGAAAATTTTCTCACTTTTTATTATATTTTTGTTTGTGTTTTATGAAAACTAAATAATTTTTATTTTAAACTTAAAGAAATTATAAGATTTGTTGTAGTATTTTAAAAAAAGAAAGAAATTAAAAATAAAATTAACTGGCATTTAAACTTAATATAAACTACGATATCGTCATCATGATGTTGTTTTGGCAGTTGTCGCAGACGACTGCGGTTGGACATGACCAAAACGTGGTAGGAATAGACCAAATTTCGATTCGATACCATTTAGTAGAGGTACAGCAGCACGATAGCCACCAATGTGATCGGCATTAATACGCACATTAGTGGTGTCAATAGCTTTGGGTTTATTGACTTCGGAGCCAGTGGGATGAGAGCCACCAAAATCAACATAGAAGAGACGTTGCAATAATTCGTAGGTCACCAAGGTGACACCGAATTGTGGTGATGAACGGAAGACACGAGCTTTAAAATATAAAAGAAGAAATATTTTTTTATGTTATATATAAAGAGAGTTTGTTTTAGGCTACTTACCGGCTGTTCCCTTCCAGAATGCTCTGGGACCTTCTTCAGCCATAATTTTCTTTGTAGCATCCCATACACCACTATAGGTGGTTTGTCCGGATCGGGCCACTACCTGTAAGCGGGTCTTTATCACATCAGCGGGTGTTACCAAAGAAGCAGCTGGTACACCAGCTATGGCACCAGCAGCCAATAAAGTTAGAGGATGATTGTAGCTGGAAATAGTTTAAAGAGAAATATTAAAAAATGGAATTTAGAGGAAAGAATCTGACAAGGTGTAGTTTTACAGAACAAATTTTAAAAGAAAGCTTTTTGTATAACAGTTATTTATTAAACAAATTATTTTGTAACAGTTTATCATTCGTAAAAAATTCTGTATAACAATTCCATTTATAGAAAAGTTTGTGTAGAACATTTTCATATATAGAAAATGTTCCGTATATTTCTTCTACAGAAATTTTGTCTGACGAGTTCTTCAATAGATTTTTATACAGTTTCTTCTAAGATAATTCTGAATCTTTCTGTAATATGTTTCTATATAACTTGTTTTAGAAAATTGACAGTATAACAGTTTCTACCTAAGATATATTTTCAGTATAACTGTTTCTTCCATAAAAAAGTTTTTTGTAGAAAATATTTGCTAAAACACTTATTCCAAATAGAATTCTATATATAAAAGTTAATTCTATAGAAAAATCACAGTATAACAGTTTATACTACCGACATATTTCTGTATAAGTGTTTCTTCTGTAATAAATAATAATTTTTCTATAAAATTTTATATATAACAGTTTTATCTATATAACGTTTTCATTATAACAGTTAGAAATTATTGCTGTAGAACAGTTTCTTCTTTATAACATATTCACAATTACACTTCTATATGTTTTTTGATATAACAGTTTCGTTAACAGCAATTTTTTTGTATAACAGTTAATATTGAAGAGATATACATACATATGTATAACATTTTTTCTATAAAATGTTATGTATAACAGTTTGTTTTGCAAACAATTTTTAGTATAACATTTCTTTTATGGAAACATCTCTGCTTAACACTTTCTTCTATAGAAATTTCTTTGTATAACAGTTTTTTATATTGAAAAGTTTTGTTTAAAATTTTTTTTTTTAGAAAAATTTGAATGGGTTTTTATACAGTCTCTTCTACGATAATTTTCTATCACAGAATATTTCTATAATATGTTTCTATATAACTTGTTTTTATTGAAAATTTACAGTATAAAAGTTTCTATTGCATATATATTTCTATATAAATGTATTTTCAGTATAACTGTTTCTTTTATAAAAAATTTTTGTACAACACTTCTTTTACAGAAAAACTATAATTTTTTGTAGAAAATATTCAGTATAACACTTATTCTAAATAGAAGTCTCTATATAACAGTTAATTCTAGAGAAAATTTACAGTATAACAGTTTCTACTACCGTCATATTTTGTATAAGTGTTTCTTCTATAATAAATAATCATTTTTCTATAAAAATTGTATATATAACAGTTTTTTCTACATAACGTTTTCACTATAACAGATTCTCCTACAAAACTATTGCCGTAGAACAGTTTCTTCTATATATTTTTTAGTATAACAGATTCGTTAACAGCAATTTGTTTGTATGAAAGTTAATAATGAAAAGATATATTTTGCAGAAATTTGTTTGTATAACATTTCTTATATAGAAACATTACTGTTTATCATTTTCTTCTACAGAAATTTCTTCGTATAACAGTTTTTTTATATTGAAATTTTTGTACAACAGTTTCTTCTTCAGAAAAATTTCTTTATAAAAGATTATTCTTTAGAAAATTTCCAGTATAACACGTTTTCTGTAGAAAGTTTTTTGTATAACAGTATATTTTAGTCAAAATAATCAGTATAGAAAATCTCCTACAGAAAATTTTCTTCTATGAAACACTTTTATAGCTTTTTTCTTCCTATAACTTCTCAGTTTTTTATATGGAAACATTTCTTCTATAGAAAAACGTCTCTACATATAAGTATATTCTCTACAAAATTTTCTTTATAAATGTTACTTTTATGAAAAATGTTTAACAGTTTTTTATGAAATAGTTTCAGGTCAACTCTTTCCTTTTTATAGCAGTTTCTTCTATAGAAATGTTCTGTATAACAGTTTCTTCTATCAAAAATGTATACAGAATATTAAAGAAAGATTCGCTAACAGGAATTTTTTTGTATGACAGTTAATAATGAAGAGATATACAATAGATTTTTCTATTGAAAATGTTCTGTATAACAGTTTGTTTTACAGAAATTTGTTTGTATAACATTTCTTATGTGGAAACGTTACTCTTTATCATTTTCTTCTACAGAAATTTCATCGTATAACAGTTTATTATATTAAAATGTTTTGTGCAACAGTTTCTTCTTTCTTAATAAAAGTTTATTCTCTAGAAAATTTTCAGTATAACACTTTTTCTGTAGAAAGTTTTATGTATAACAGTTTATTTTATCAGTGTAGAAAAAATTTCTCCTTATGTATGTATATTCTAGAAAATCGTTTATACAACAGATTCCTTTATGGAATAGTTTGAGGTCAACTCTTTCTTTATTTATAGTAGTTTCTTCTATAGAAATGTTTTGTATAACAGTTTCTTCTATCAAACATTTATATAGAAAACAACAGTTTTCTTACAAACAGTTATTGTACAATAGTTCCTTCTATAGAAAAATATATTAATAAAAGATTCTTCTATAAAAAAGTTGTATTGAAAATTTCCGTATAATTTTCTTTTGCGGAAAATTCTTTGTATAACAGAAAGTCACCGAATTACAATTTAGAAATCTTCCTTGAAGAAAATTTATCGATTTCTATAGAAGTACACAATTATATATATAAAAACTTTTATATCAGAACATATTCGACCATTTTCTGGCGATCAAAAATCCCCCTTTACTCTCCCCTCAAACTCACCCATCTTCATCGGCAAACAAAGCCTTCGTATGAGCATAAGTTGGGAAATAAATAGCCGAAAAAGGTACATCACGCAGCAGACAAGCACGAGCACCCTTGTACAGACCAAACAAACCCAAATCACGCACAACCGATAAGGCACGAACTTTACTGCCACCAGCAATTTCACCAGCAACTTGCAAACGAATTTTAACAATTTCCAAAGGATTTGTAAAGACCACTTGAGAGGCACCAGCCTATATAATAAAGAACGCATTAAATTTGTTCGTCCAAATTTCTTCACAAAATAAAACTTACACAACCACCAGCTAAAATTTCAGACCACAATGGAATTTTACCCTGTTTATCGGTACATTTATCACGCACTAAATCGTTGACAGTTAATTTGATGGCTTTTTCGGGTGCCACACCCATTAATTGAGGCAGTAGACCACGGTAAAGACCCAAAACACCTTCATGGCGTATGACCTAAAATATAAAGTATATGAAAATAATGCAGACTTTTTCCAAAAAAGAATCATGTTTTTTACCTTTTTAAAACAATCAAAGGAATTTCTATAGGCCACCTCACCAATGTATGAGCCTGTGCGTTGATTTTGCATGCGTGTCTTGACCAAATCAATGGGGTAAACAACCGTAGCACCCACGGCTTTTGAAAATAAAGAAAAATTATTTATTAAAATTTTTATTTTTATTAAAATAAAATCAGTTAAACTTACCGCCTGCCAAAGAGCCCAACGTAAAACGATATGTGCTCTCTAAAATTTGTATAAATGCTGATCTATCGGCTGGACTTTCCACGGCCTTTATTTCAGCCAATCTAGTGGTGATATGCTTCGTATAGTGCTCGGGTGCAATATTGCTTAAATCGTTATAGACAATGCGGCTGAAATTTTAATAATTAAATAAAATTGTTTACTTTATGTTTTAAAATATTATTATAAGGAACAATTATTAACATAAAGGGATCTAGAAATGTAAAGGGCTGGTCTGGAGTTAGAAAAAAACTCAAAAAAAACTATGTTAACGAAAACCATAAGAGGAGTCTTGGTAATAAAATATTTATGGGTTAATGTTGTAACACTTGCCTACTTGCTTGTATCTTTTTACGTCTCCACCAACTATTTTTAAAATTTTTTTACATTTTTTTTTTAACAATTAACATTAAAAGAGAAACAAAAGAGGGATAATATTTGCTATTAATAGTTTCTACACTTTTTGTAAAATGACATTATGATTTTAATATTTAACAGGTTGAAATCTAATAAATTACATGTTGAACGTTTTTGAAATCAGCATGAGAATAGTGATCATAATACTCGGAAATTTTGCTCAGAGTGTGTCTATTTTTAAGATTACTTACTATATTAGAGATTATAGTTTGGTCATATTTATACTCTGGACTATGGAACAGTCTATGGTCTCGACTATAGAACTGTAGTCTGGACTATTGTTCTAAAGAACACTCTATAGTCTGGACCATACAACAGTCTATAGTCTGGACTATAAAACAGTCTATAGTCTGGACTATAGATCAGTCTTTAGTCTTGACTATAGATCAGTATATAATTTTTACTATAGATTAGTCTATAGCTTTGACTATAGATCAGTCTACAGCTTTGACTATAGATCTGTCTATAGTCCTGACTATAGATCAGTCCATATTCTTGACTATAGATCAGTCTATAGTATTGACTATAAATCAGTCTATAGTCTTGACTATAGATCAGACTATATTCTTGATTTTAGATCAGTCTATAGTGTTAACTATAGATCAGTCTATAGTGTTGACTATAGAATAGTCTAGTCTTGACTATAGATCAGTCTATGGTCTTGTCTATAGTTTAGTCTATGCATAGTATTTACTATATACCAGTCTATATTCTTGACTATAGATCAGTCTTTCTCATTTCTTGACTATATATCAATCTGTAGTCCTGACTATAGACCAATCTATAGTCTTGACTATAGATCAGATTATAGTCTTGACTACAGGTCAATCTATAGTCTTGACCATTGAGTTTTGACTATAGATCAATCTATAGACTTGACTATAGATCAATCTGTATTCTTGGCTATAGACCAGTCTACAGTCTTGACTATAGATCAGTCTATAGTGTTAACTATATATCAGTCTATAGTGTTGATTATAGATCAGTCTATAGTGTTGACTATAGATCAGTCTATAGTCTTGACTATTGATCAATCTGTAGTCTTGACTATAGATCAGACAATAGTCTTGACTATAGATCAATCTATTGTCTTGACTATAGATCAGTCTTTAGTCTTGACTATAGATCAGTCTATAGTCTTGACTATAGATCAGTCTATAGTCTTGACTGTAGATCAGTCTATATTCTTGACTGTTGATCAGTTTATAGTGTTGACTATAGATCAATCTGTAGTCTTGACTATAGATCAGACTACAGTCTTGACTATAGATCAGACTACAGTCTTGACTATAGATCAATCTATAGTATTGACTATAGGTCAATCTATAGTCTTCACTATAGATCAGTCTATAGTCTTGACTATAGGACAGTCTAGAAATATAGATCAGTCTATTATAGTCTATTATAGTGTAGATCAGTCTATAGTTTTGACTATAGATCAGTCTATAGTCTTGACTATATATCAGTCTATAGTCTTGACCATATATCAGTCTATAGTGTTAACTATAGATCAGCCTATAGTCTTGTCTATAGATCGTTCTATAGTCTTGTCTATAGATCATTCTATACTATTGACTATAGATCAGTCTATAGTCTTGACTATAGATCTATCTATATTATTAATTAAATCATGTCTAAAAAGGGGTCGAGGATAGTAATAAGTATCTCCCTAATTTCACGACCCATAGGTAACTCTTTCAGAGTACAATATTCATCATAATAATTTCAAAAACTTTCAATATTTAATTAACCTACTAAAGGATAGATGACACTTAATATTTTAGACATGTATAAAAAAACTATAACTAATTAGTCTTCTAAAACTCACCCAGTTTGATGTAGAGCTCCGGTCAATTGAAATAGAATATCAATTTCTAAGGGTGTAATTTGACTCATAGTTTGAGCAGCATATAAAAGTTCATCTTTGGTAACTGGTTCTGTGCGATTACCTTGTGTAGAATGTAAATAGATGCGTTTTATCAATTCCATATTATTTAGCAACGATGTGAAAGCCATAAAATATGGAAAGCTTACCTTATGGCCTTCAGTAACCTATAAATAGCATTAAAAATTAATAATTAAAGAAAACTTTAATTGTTAGTTATAGAAAAACAACTTACGGCTACTAAATTATCTTTAACATCGGCGGTGAGTAAATGCTTTTTAACTTTAACCATAATATCTTGAAAATCTAATGGAGAAATATATCCAGAACCAGCTGGATCTTTGCTACGGAATGCTTCCATCGCATATTCCTCATGAAAATCATGAAGTAATTGAGTAAATTCAGCGTAATTAATTAAACGTTGTTTTTTCTGCAAGAATAGGTTTTGATTAAAGTTTCACCTCAAGAAAGTGTTAAACAAACATTTTTACTTACTTCACCAAAATATCGTTTAATAAAGGGACTGTCTAGGCTAAAAGGTATTTTTGAATGTAGTTCAGTTTTTTGTACGACATCAGCAAAATCACCTAAAAATTTCATTAAAATTTAATTAAGTTTAAAATTTGATTAAAAAGTATATGGTGTTAAAACTTACTGTAGGATACTGTGCCATTGCCTTGACGATCGAATAATTGAAAAGCTGTTTTATATAAAGCGTCTGGTGTACATAATAAACCTTCAAAAGCTTGAAATTCTGAGAATGATATAAGTCCATCCTTGCTTGTATCAGCAATACCCGCTAATAAACGCACTGATTCCTGCAATTTGAATTAGAAATAAAATAAAGAATTTTGAAAAATATGTTTATTAAATGGCTTTATAATTTGTTTTTCTATAAATTATGTACATGACCTTAGGCCGTTAATTTCAAACCGGTATGAACTGAATATTAAATCTTAAATTATGATTATTTTCATGATTTAACATTTTGGTAAGTTTTATATTTAAATTCTAATCTATCTAAATATTTGTTGTTTTATGACTGGGCTAGTAGTACCTAAGCACTTTTTTTGATAGTGTTATCTATTTGGGAATGTCTGTCTATTTGAAAAAAGTTTTTGGTCTGTATGGAAGACGTGCCTTTAATTAGGTTGATACAATCAAAGTAGGCTAGACAGAAAAAAAGCTTACTAACAATATTAAAATGAATATGTAGTATATAAAATCATGAATGGAAAGTTTATTGGGTCATATTTACAACAATATTAATTATGTTTTATTTTAGCAATTGAACAATTTTATCAGTCAATTAAACGATCACATATGTAGCTCCCTCAGAGTCTTATCTATACGCTTAAAAATTTCGATTTAAATTTACAAATTTCTGTATATAAATTCAAATAAACAGAAGTAAGATTGTGACTGTACGTCGGAAGAAGTTATGCACGTTTTTTGAGAAGTTCTGCTACCCAAAGTTTTGTGGATCCCGACTGTTAAACACATGATTGGGTCCTAACAAGAGCTAAGGAGCAAACTATGCTGTCGAATATAGTTGATTATAGTCTTGACTGTAGAGTCATCTATTGTTTTAAATATAGAATCAACTAATAGTGTCGAATAAAATCTTGACTTTAGTCAAGGCTTAATATAGTCTTCACTGTACTATTATAATCCGGGTCTAGAGTTTTTCAATTTTAATAAAATGCAATTTTGGGAAATTTATTAGACTACACACTATCTACACTGAATTTTAATAGGTCATTTAAGACCAGAATACCGACAAGGGATGATTGTGCCGCGAACATTGTCCTAAGGGCCGACGTGATGGCTCAAAGACAGAAAGGGGCTTGGGTTCGGAATCTTTTTCTGCACGGTTCTTCAGACAGAGATACAGTCGCGAGAAGAATCCGGGAACTAATTCTCAAAAATTCGACCATACATATATACTTGGACAGCCTTGCATCAATCAAGGCTCATTACTCCAATGTTATTAAGTAGAAATGTCTTCTCAATTGTATTCAATTATAGGCACAACTGACACAACATCACGTTGAGTTGATATGGGTTCCAGGACATGCGGGCATCCCGGAAAATGAAATATTTGATGAATAAGCAACCAAAGGGTCATCCCTAGACTTAACCCTTGCGCAAAGGGATATTTACACTCACATGGCGACTCTATCAAAATTGATAGATGACTGGGCTTTGAGTGAGACGGAACTTAGGTGGTCAAATATCACCACTTGTAGAATATCGAGACTACTCTGGCCCACTCTGACAACGGATAGGACTAGGACTCCCTTGTCTCTTAGTAAAAACTCAATTAGACTTTTAAATGGTATAATTACTGGGCACTGTGTAATTGGACATATGTCGGAGCGTAGGGTCTACCCACATTATAGCTACAGTAGAACCTATACAATACCAATTATTACAGATCATCTATTTAGTTTCTTAATTAAAATTAATTGATAAAGTTAAATTTTTATACCTTAAAATAAATACAGTCTAAAACAAATTTAATAAATCAAAACTTTCATAAACTGTTTCACGCAGATGACATTCGCATGTCATAAGACATGACAGTAAAACTCACAAATGACATTGAAAATGCTAACTGAAAAAGTAATAAAAAATCCTTGAGTTTGTAAATTACCAAAAAAAAAAAATACTATTCCTATACTTAATTGTAATGGCAAATTACTCCAAATATAATGTGGCCAATGTGGGTCTGCAATATATTCCCCATCAAAAATGTTCGGTTAGTGTTCTTTTTAAGGAGACACACTTTTTGTGAAATGAAGTTCATGGACATTGGACGTTTTGATACGAAAATTTAGCAATAATTGATAAATATCACTCTTAAATTATATTAATATAAAAATAAAAAAAATATATTTCTTTCATACTTATTTTATATCAAATTCATTTCTTAAACAAAGGAATTAGTGGTTAAAGTCAATACATATTATAAAGCCAAAATACAGCCAGACAATACACATCACGTGTCAAGGTCAAATAAAGAATTAGAACCAGAATAAAGCAAATACTAAACAAACAAAAAAATAGCAAAAAAATATAGAACAAATTGTTCAATGACTGATTAGTTTAGACTGATCTAAGATAATAATTTCATTAAATCAATAACTTGTTCTTACTAGTATAAATATTTCATATTATGTCTAAGGTAATCACAATAATAATTGTGTTAAATTTTAATAAACAACAAAACTTAAATGAACATTATTTAAGTGCAATCATGATTAACACGCGTCTAATAAGTGACTTTGTTTTGACGTTCATCGGTTAAATACAAAACGTCATACAAACAAACAACCAGAATTATTATGATTACGACAATAATTATTGCTATAAATGAAAACAAAAAAATTATATTAAATTAAAGGGGGTGATTTCGAGTGTTAATTATAGTTTGCTGGTGTGTTTGTTTTAGGAAGTTTAGAGAGTATACATTTTTACTGCTCGAAAATTAGTACATAGTAAACAATTTTAAGTCGTCTAATCACCCGATAAGTTTATCACTAGCAAGTTAGTTTAATTTCAAATTAAGTAAATTAATAGATGATATTTAAAAGAATTTTTTCTATGGAAGTTTTGTCGGAATCTGAACATGATCTTTTATAGCAAGTGGATAAGATTTTGATTGCGACTTTTTAGGAAACATGAGAATGACATGAGACGATCACGAGTTTTAATAGAAATTTATTCAGATTCTGACCACGACTATTTATAGAAAATTTCTCAGAATCTGCATAAGATTTTCTATAGAAAATTTCTCGGAATCTGAGTTAGATTTTCTATAGTAAATTTCTCAGAATCTGAGTAACATTTTCTATAGAAAAGTTCTCAGAATCTGAATAGAAAATTTCTCAGAAACTGAGTAACATTTTCTATAGAAAATTTCTCAGAAACTGAGTAACATTTTCTATAGAAAATTTCTCAGAAACTGAGCAAGATTTTCTATAGAAAATTTCTCAGCATCTGAGTAACATTTCCTATAGAAAATTTCTCAGAATCTGAGCAAGATTTTCTATAGAAAATTTCTCAGAATCTGAGCAAGATTTTCTATAGAAAATTTCTCAGAATCTGAGCAAGATTTTCTACAGAAAATTTCTCAGAATCTGAGCAAGATTTTCTATGGAAAATTTCTCAGAATCTGAGCAAGATTTTCTATAGAAAATTTCTCAGAATCTGAGCAAGATTTTCTATAGAAAATTTCTCAGAATCTGAGCAAGATTTTCTATAGAAAATTTCTCAGAATCTGAGCAAGATTTTCTATAGAAAATTTCTCAGAATCTGAGCAAGATTTTCTATAGAAAATTTCTCAGAATCTGAGCAAGATTTTCTATAGAAAATTTCTCAGAATCTGAGCAAGATTTTCTATAGAAAATTTCTCAGAATCTGAGCAAGATTTTCTATAGAAAATTTCTCAGAATCTGAGCAAGATTTTCTATAGAAAATTTCTCAGAATCTGAGCAAGATTTTCTATAGAAAATTTCTCAGAATCTGAGCAAGATTTTCTATAGAAAATTTCTCAGAATCTGAGCAAGATTTTCTATAGAAAATTTCTCAGAATCTGAGCAAGATTTTCTATAGAAAATTTCTCAGAATCTGAGCAAGATTTTCTATAGAAAATTTCTCAGAATCTGAGCAAGATTTTCTATAGAAAATTTCTCAGAATCTGAGCAAGATTTTCTATAGAAAATTTCTCAGAATCTGAGCAAGATTTTCTATAGAAAATTTCTCAGAATCTGAGCAAGATTTTCTATAGAAAATTTCTCAGAATCTGAGCAAGATTTTCTACAGAAAATTTCTCAGCATCTGAGTAACATTTTCTTAGAAAATTGTTCACAATTTGAGCAAGATTTTCTTTAGAAAATTTTTCAGAATTCGAGCAAGATTTTTTATAAAAAATTGTTCAGAATCTAAACAAACTTGATCTGAGCAAGATTGTGTTTAAGATATTGTACAAAATTTTAATAATATAAAAAAAAAAATCTCAAAAATTATGCAATTTCTTAACGAAGACTAATCAGAGGTAAAAAAATTATAGAGCTTACATGAAAAATGATTACATTCCTTTAAATGACATCTATAAACAATTTATAGTGTATCCGCAATTTAACAACAAACATTAAATTACAAATTGCTATAAAAGATCATAAATTTATTTTTTTACAATTTAACAACCCAAAAGCAATTGAGGGTTAAAGATACAAACAAGACGAACAACAATAAAACAAATCAAAACAATTGTAAATTGTAGTATAAAAGTAAGAAAGAAGAATTTAGTCGATCCCCCCATTATTTATAGTGGTGGGTGTGAATTTTTGTGTGTCTTCTATAATTTGGATGTTTGCCATTTTTTTGCAAAGTTTTTTAGTGTATAAACTATAAAATTTAGCTAATTTACTACTGTTGTATTTTTTGCTTAGTTTTTGATACATTTTTTTTGTTTCTGCTTATCAGCAATTTGTTTCTATAGTTTTTTGTTTAAAATCAATGTAATAGCTTTTTTCAATTACAATAAATAATACTTACATCATTAAATGCGGCATCTGTGAATAAACCCAAAAATTTCCTTACAAAATCATCGCTAGTCATAAAATGTTCACCATTCTTTTCGTAGGTTGCGTATTTTTGGAAGACTTCACGTAATTTATCGGTGCTGGCACGTTTTAAAAACGAGTGACCCTTTAAGTAGAAAAAAAGAGAGAGCGAAACATATAAGAGATTAAATTTACAATTTCAAATGAGTATTATAATTTGTATTTTTAAGTAGGAAATAGAATGTAAGATAAAAATAAAAAAATGCAATTAAAAAAATAAAAGTCATAAGAACATTTACAACAAGGTCATTTAGAAGCAACATGTGTTACTAATGATTTAAGAGCAAAAAAAATTATACAAAAAGAGAGTATTATAAGAGTAAAAGTACAGAGAAGAATTGAAATGTATTTGGAGAATTGTTAATTTAACACTTTACTTTGTAAAGGTTTTGCTGGAAAATATTTTAAAAATTTACTTAGAATCTGAGTTAGATTTTCGTCAGTAAAAAGCTCAGAAAGTTAGCTAAATTTTAATCGAGAAAATAGCTCATAATTTGATCTAGTTTTTAGTTAAAAAATAACTCAGAATCTGAGCTAGATTTCCGTTGAAGAATAGCCAAAACTCCGAGCTATATTTTCTCTAATGATTTTCTTTATAATATAGCTCAGAATCTGAGCTCGATTTTCTCGAAAGAACAGCCTAAAGTCTGAGCTAGATTTCCGTTGAAGAATAGCCAAGACTCTGAGCTATATTTTCTCTTATGATTTTCTTTATAATATAGCTCAGAATCTGAGCTCGATTTTCGCGAAAGAACAGCCTAAAGTCTGAGTTAGATTTTCGCTAAAGATAAGCTCTGAACTGATTCTGATTCGATTTTCATTAAAAAATATATAGCTCATAATCTGATCTAGATTTTAGTTCCAAATTAACTCAGAATCTGCACTATATTTACATTGAAGAATAGCCATGACTTTGAGCTATATTTTCTCTTTTGATTTTCTTTATAAAATATGAATCTGAACTAGATTTTCGATTATATTTTCTCTAGAGAATAGTTCAGAATCTGAGATAGATTTTCTTTAGAAAATGGCTGAGAAACTAATATAGTTTTTTTCTAATCTAGTTCAGAATCTGAACTAGATTAGCTCAATAGCATAGCTCTGAATCTGATCTAGATTTTAGTTAGAAAATAACTCACAATATGAGCTAGTTTTTCGTTAAGGAATAGCTTAGACTGTGAGTTATATTTTTTCTTTTGATTTTCTTTATAAAATAGCTCAGAATTTGAGCTAGAGTCTGAGTAAGATTTTCGCTAAAGAATAGTTTAGAATCTTTTTTGATGTTCTTTATAAAATAGCTCTGAATCTGAGATGGATTTTCTCTAGAAAACAGATCAGAATCTGAGCTAGATTGTCGTTAGAGAATAGCTCAAAATCTAAGCTAGATTTTCTATAGAAACTAAATCAAAATCTGAATTAGTTTTTCATCAGAATCTGAAAAAGATTTTTTTGGAAAAGACCTCAGAGTCTGATTTAGATTTTAGTTCAGAATTAGGTATTATTTTCAAACAGCCTAAAGACTAAGTTAGATTTTCGCTTAAGAATAGCTCAGAATCTTTTTTGATTTTCTTTATAAAAAAAGCTCTGAAACTGAGATAGATTTTCTCTAGAAGATTTTTTTCGAAAAAACTTACTGAGAGTCTGATTACGGTTTTCTTTAGAAATTAGTTCAGAATTAGATATTTTTTTGAAAATAATTCAGAGTCTTAGCTCGTATTCAGAATCTGTGGTAGTTTTTTTATTTCAAAATAGTTCAGAATCTTATTAAGATCTTTTTTAGAAGATAAAGTAGAATATGAGTTATTTTTTTTTTTTGTGGATAAAAGTACATACTGTGAGTTAAGTTTTCCTTAGAAAATAGTTTAGAATCTGAGACTGATTTTCTTCAAAGAATAGTTCAGAATCTGATGTATAAAAACAGTTAACAATCTGAGCTATACTTTCGTAAGAAAAAGCTCTGAATCTAAGCTAAATTTTAGTTAAAAGTTATCTTAGAACTCCCAGGGTTAAAACCCTTTATGTCATTTACGTTTTTATTACAAATTTTTTCTCTCTCTGTATATTCCATAACAATTAAATAATGTGTCACGAAAAAGAAGAGAAGATAATTTTAAGATCAATATGATTTCACTCAACCTACACTTTGGGATTTTTTCTTTAGCGGCATTTTCACTCTCTGTCTGATAAACTTCTCTTCGGCTCAATTAGAATTTCAAGTACTCTTTTACAATTAAACAGAATATTTTTTCTTAATTACAGCAATTATTCGTAATCGAATTCCCCGTTTTTTTGTTTCAATCGTTTATAACATTTATGCTAAAAGTGGAGAAAAATCAATTTAGGAACTTTAGGAAATTCCTATAACGCCTTTTTCCACTTTGTTCAACTTTATCTATATAGTTTTTCGATAAATTACACATTAAAACCGCACACGCGTTTCGTCAACAATCAACGTTTTAGATACGAAACAACCAATTCAAACGTCGACGAAATAACAACTAAATAAAAAAACTCATTAAAATGGCAGCAACATCAAGAAGAAATTCAACCTCAATTCTATTGAACCCGGTGAGCGGGAATTTTTATTTGTGTAAAAAAAGTAAAAAATTAAAAAAAAAAACAAAGCAGAACAGAATGGCATAGTGAAGAAAAAACATCAAGAAAAATATTCGTTCGCTCATATTGTATTTGTATTCTACTTGAAGTTTATTTGTTGTTTGTTTTTATTTTAGTCTTCTCCCCTATTTTGGACTCTCTTTATGTATGATCTCCCCAATGGAGTTGAGTATATGCGAACTTTTTAATCATAAAAAAAAAACATGACAAAAACATATTTTAAGATCCGTCCAACATTTGTCTGATAACAATTTGCTGAAACGTGATGTCGCTCCAAGAACTAATGGTGAAATTGTTGCGGAAATTTAGATTTCTGTTATCTTTTTAAGTTTCTGTATTAATTAGTAATTTATTTTCAAAATCTAGTTAATTAAATGTGGCGTATTTATCGAGCATGTGTTCGGCGTTTATCGGTCCGCATGTTGTGTATTTTGAAAACATATGGTTTTTGTTTGATCGTCAAAATGTATACCTGTTTTGTTTGTGTCGATCGCTTGTCTAGCCAATAAATATAAACTTTAACTTTTTGAGAGATGAGTCAGTGAGAGACCAACTAACTAGTCACCTCTTTGAATGGAACTTTGTACTATAGAGAAATATACATGCAGCCAAAGATCATTCGAATTTTCCGCAAAATTAACATCGAAATATATTTACTCTTTGATCTATACAATTCTCATTTTATATAAGAAATACATGGTACAATTTTACAATATTTTCTTTTAACTTTAATGCTAATTTCGATATTTGAGAATAAAATCATTGATCAGCTCTTTTTAACTCTTCCGAAAAGTTGTAAATTACAATTCTATCTTGCAGAATCTAAGATATATTTTCTTTATAAAATAACTTAGAATCTACGCTAGATTTTCTTTAGAAAACAGTTCAGAATCTTAGCAAGATTTTCGTTAGGGAATAGAGCTATTACTGAGCTCTCAGTAATCTACATACTGTAAAATTTCACTACATTTTCAAGCAATGCCTTTTAAATCCATTTATGGAAGTTAAACAGTTTTTCAGAGTTTAGACCAATTATGATCGTTTATGACGAAATGATCAACGTTGTGCGATCAACGAACTATGAGTCGATCATCATAAAATTTCGTAATATATGAATATAGTACAATTCCATCGGGATAACAAGATTTCTTTCTTCGTCCATATACGATGCGTTATTCAAATCCCGCCTATAAATTCCATTCTGCCGCATGATCACCTCTCACTTGCTCATCTCTAACTAAAATAATATGTAGTTTCTGGTTTTTGTCAGTCTAGTCTGATTAACTGCTAATGTTTCTCAATATTGTTTACGTTTGAGTTTGCATCAGCCAATGTTGTTGTTTTTTTTCGATTATTTTTCAATATTTTTTTTCATTATCTATCACTCACATTTGAGTTGAGTGTATTTTTGATACATACAAGTAGTTCTTATCAATTTGCGAATATTTACTCTCTTACCATTTGAGTAATGTTTGTATATATGTATGTTTGTTTTTAATAAGAATCGGATCTCTTATGAACAAAAAAGCTTTTTTATGATAAATATAGTATTACAATTAATATTTATACGCTACACCACTATAGTGGGGAGGGTATTATACGTTTGTTCTGATGTTTGTAACACCCAAAAATATTGGTCATACACCCACCTTAAAGTATACCAATCGGCTCAGAATCACTTTCTGAGTCGATTTAGCTATGTCCGCCCGTCTGTGTGTCCATATAAACCTTTTGCGCACTTGACAGGTCGCAATTTTCAAGTTAATTTAAACAAATTTGGCCCAAAGACGAAGCCTATTGAAAATGGTTAAAATCGGTCTATTATTTCGTATAGCCCCCATACAACCGTATCCCCCGAATACGGCTTTTGAGCTCATAAATATGTTAAATGTTCTTCTATCACTTCAAAAATACGTAAAACTTAGTTTTATATAAGTCTTAATGATACTGCTGGTTTTCGTAATGATCGGGCCTCATTTGACTCTATCCCCCATACAAAGTTCACTTCAGAAAAAGACTTGATAGTCAAAATTCTGCATAAATAACTAACGTAAATCCCTCTACCAAAATTTATAAGGATAGGACAATAATAACCCCCTGCCCTCATATAACCCCCTCTTAGAAAATCCCTTTTTTGTCAACAAATTATTAAAATATTTCCGAATTAAAATTAAAAATTATATTAAATACTTTATTATTAAAACAAGTAAGAAATTATAGTCGGGGGAGGCCGACTATATAATACCCTACACCTTTGACAAATTGGTTTTTGCAGCTTTTTGTCGAGATATGAGTATATTGAACATAATTATAAACTTAAAAGCCCTATTTGGCGGGTTCAGTTGTATGGGGCTAGGTAAAATAATGGACCGATGTAAACAATTTTCAACAGGCTTCGTCTGCGGTACCATAAAAGATCATGTGCCAAATTTCATTGAATTATCTCCAAAATTGCGACTTGTAGTTTGA